CAAGAGAAGGAATGGGGGGGTGTCACCAGAGCAACAAAGACTTTGTGAAAGGAGTGAAAAGGGGAAGAAGGGAAAACTTGGCACTGGAGTAATACCTGGACTACACACGCGCGCGCACACACACACGCACGCACGCACGCACGCACGCGCGCGCGCGCACACACACACACACACACACACACACACACACACACACACACACACACACACACACACACACACACACACACACACTCTGTAAACATTCATTCACATGCATGTGTCATGTTTGGAGAAGCTTCAGTTGTCCTGAAAAATAAATCCAAGATGTGGAGACACAAGGTTTTCAGCGGACATTGTCTCACACTGTGTGTGTGTGTGTGTGTGTATAAACTTATCTGCTTATATATTTGTATATGTCTGTGTGTGTTGACCTGTGCAGTGAAGTGACTGTAGTTTATTATGAAGTTTCCACTCTGATACACCGTCGACTGATATTGACCTGACACACACACACACACACGAGCCGGAGTCTAGAATACAAAACAATATTGACACTCTCCCCCCCCCCCTCCCCTCTGGCCTGAATACACGCTGTCAGCTTCACTGTAGGAGGACGATATGGGGGGGGTGGGGGGGAGACAGCTGCTCTGATTCACAAAACTATTGCATCTTAAAACATGTATTCACTCAGCTCAGGTGACACAGAACAACACTACATCTGTTTAAATCAGTCCCATGTTTTGTTGTGGTTCACAGGTCAAATGGACGCTGGGGTTGGTTACTGTTAAGAGTCTGGTACCAGAACCTGGAATTCAGTATCAATATCGAATAACATTTGTGTTTCTCTCTCTGTAAAACCAGAAAATGCAATTTCACCTCAACAGGCACAGTAGGTGACGGTTAGCACCACACAGTTAATAGGCCAGTGAATGCTAACCAACAGTGAACAAGAACATTTGTATTTATAATTAAATACAAATGTTTCAGCAACGAAAAGTTTTTTTTATTTTGTAAACGTTGACAAATCTTCCAGCTCTTCACAAAACCTTGTTTCTAAACAACACTAAAGAGTTTTTATTCTTGATGGGTTCAAGTATTGTGAAGTTAGCTGAAGAGGAGTGAGGAAGAGAACGGACAAAAGAAAAGAAATAAATCAATAATTCTGCCCTGACCCAAGTGTTCTCACTCACTACACAAACACCACAGCTCCTCTTTGTCCTCGAACATTTTCTTCTCCTTCTTTGTTTCTAACTTTGATCATTCTTGTCTCTTTATTGCTTTGTTTTCGATGATGATCTAGTTCCTCCTCTTGTTTTATGCTATGTGATGTATTTTACTGTTGGTTACTAAACTGTATTACACTACGAGAGAGTCAGCTGGTGTCCTGCAGTGTTTACTTCCTGCTGCAGACACCGTTAGTGATGAGGCCATTGACGAGGTCGCTCTGCAGTGGGACATTATCAGCCGTACCTGGTCTAAGAAGCTGAAGAGTCGGACGGTCCGCTCGATGTTCTGTTCAGTGGCGTTGATCCGCTGAGAGAAATCCTGAAGCTGAGCCCAGAAGGAGTGAATTTTGACCTCGTAAATGTGGAGGTCCACTGACGACATGTTGCCCCAGTGATCCAGACGACTCAACAACGCCTCGCCCCGTTTACAGAAACCCTGCAGAGAGAGAACGAGGTCAGCGCACAAGACGATTCTTCACGGACAACAACAGATAAAGTGTGTGTGTCGTACATGAGCTGTTGTGTAGAGGTTCTTGAAGTCCGTCTGTTTCTTCTTGAGCAGCTCGAGAGAATCTTCAGGTTCATTCAGATTCTTCAGACAAGGTTCTCCTTCGTCCTGCAGCCAGGAGCTCACCTGAACGCATCACACAGGTAAACGTGTCAGTCATTCCCCTCTTGACCTCTAACTGTGAAGTGACTGACACGGATCATAACGGACTGTGACACGTTCTCACAGGTACTGAAATTGAGTCCTGAAATCAGCTCCCTCTGCTGGACAGACTGATGAAGACTCAGAATACATATATGGGCCTTAATAAATAAAGACAGAGTGAGGCATCTCACCGGGAGACAATCTTTGTGTTCACCGATTACAACTTTCATATTTGTGATGTTTACAGATCCAAAGTCCTGATCCCATTAATCCCATTAACGTGATGAGTGTGTGAGTGGAGGTTGAGAACTGAGCTCACACGGACCTCGGTGAAGCCCTGCTCCAGACTCCTGAAGTCCAGGATGAAGCTCAGCTGCTGCGTCCTGGAGTTGGACAGCGTGACGAGGCGGTGAAGCAGCTCGTCCACCTGATCGTACAGAGATGACACGGTCTCCAGCTCCGCCCTGTAATCATCTGTCGCGCTGATAACGCTCTCCTCTCTGCGGAGCCGCGACAGAGAGGCCCCGCCCTCCTGCTGTAACCGGACCAATCGACCATCTTCAAGGACACTACGTATCACCGCTTTGTAGCGGGACAGCAGCACCTCGGCATCCTGGGAAAAGAGAGAGGACATTTAGTCAGTTTACAGAGGACACATACAACACACTGCTGGTTTGAGTTACTGTGGTAACCAGATGAGTTTTACATTTGATGAGGTCATAACATCACTGGTGTGTGTGTGTGTGTGTGTGTGTGTGTGTGTGTGTGTGTGTGTGTTACCTGAGCAGCAGCAGGTAGAGGTGTGTTCTGCAGGATATTGATGGTTTTCTGCAGCAGCTTGATGACGTCCTCACACTGATTGGTCAGCTGCTCCACTCTCTGATGAAAACAGGAAATAAAAAGAGAAAAACCTTTTCACTAATGAGCGATGACACACAAATAAACTTTTTGAAATTTCTGATCAATTCACTGATCATTTTCATTGTTTGATCATTAAAAATCATGAAGCTGAATATTAAACTGAATTAATACATTTTTAAAACAGTAACTGATCAATTGACAGTCTGTGGAGGTGAAGTGTAGAAACACAACACTTCCATATAAAACAAGAGATGAGCGCTGCCTTCTCTTCACTCGGTGCCCGTCACCTAAAGAGCTGATGACCTGACGTTGACACGTGTACTGACCGATCTGAAGCAGAGCCAGCTGCTCTGACTGAAGCTGAAGGAGCCTCCGAACTCTGCAGGAAGCTGCTGGAGGTCCACGTGTTTCTGAACAGACTTCAGAGAATGCAACACCTCCACCTGGTTTGTGAAACATCATGTAAACGACAAACCTGATTTCAGTGCAAACATAACACAGCAACATCACTTTCTGCCACTAGCGATCTGTCTATTCAAAATAATCCTTCATCCACTTCCGTCCACAAACATAAGCCTGATGTCTCGTTAAAGAACAAACCAAAGTGAACGAGGATCAGTCTGATCAACTGTGTGACCGAGCTCATGTGTCAAAGTCACCTGTGTGATCACGGATCTGTCCAGACGCACCAAGGAGGAGTCTCTGCTGACCAGCAGTAACACGCTGTGGATGGAGCCCGGTGTGCTCTCCTGCACACACACATTTGTTGAAATGTCAGTTTTTTTGTTGAGTTCAGTCAAACTAAATAACAACAGGTAAACACGACCACAGGAGACTCACCTGCAGGGACCTGAGGGCAGAGAAGAGGGCGGGGACAGGAGCTGCTCTGCGGGCGTCCACGAGCACCGTCAGACCCAGCGCTCGCACCTCCTTCCTGCTCGGGCACAGGAAATGACATCAGAGGGACACAACAGTACAGAGACCTGAGGTCGAGCTGAGAACTATGTGCGGTCACTACCTGAGGGTGGAGGTGTAATAGAGAAGGAGGCGGAGCAGGTCCGCCCGCTCACAATCAGGGTTCGACCACATGGAGCTGCTGGTTGAGACGGTGAGAAGAGCTCGTCCACTTCTGTCTCTGGTTCCTGCAGGAGACGAAGAGGACACATCATCATCATCATGGTACTTCATGTTAGAGTGTCTCATGTATTTTTTTTACACATGAAACTCATGAGGTTCATGTTTAGGTATCAGCTGCAGCTTCAGTCCACAAACACTCTTCTTTATAAAACACTGAAACTGTCGGATTGTTCTAATCTGCTTCACTAACATTAACTCTGGTATCAAACCGGTTGAGATGGTTTCTAAATGAGGTCAGTGTCTCACCAGGCAGACACAGAGCTCCAGAGCTCAGCAGCACGCTGTAGAAGCTGGACCGAGACGATGGACAGGATAGGATGGACATTCCTGGGACAGTGTCCACAGTTGGACCAGTCCTCTGTGAACAGACAGCTGGTTGTTGTGGTTCTGTTGGACTGGAATATGCTGAATGGACAGAAGACAACTCAGTGCTGAAACCTGTGGAGAGAAGACGGACACACACACACACACACA